GACAGCTATGTTAAGCCTAAGTCAACGTCCTCGTTATCTTTACTTAAGTATCGCAGTCGGAAGCAATACTTTACATTTGCGAGACACTTTTACTAAATTATACAGATCACCACAAGAGAAACAGTGGTGGGGGTTGTAAATTTTTTATGTCGAGGCTGACATTTACACGAACGCAAGGTACCTTTGTTGAACTAGAAACGTGTCATATGAAATAATATTAATATTGAAGAATTATTTTAAACCAGGGGAAAGCTGACATTCTTTGTTATGTGATCCATATATTTACAGAGATTGCTTAATGTATAGAGATTTAACGTATTCGGGCTTCAACTACATATTTTTTTGGAATAAAGTTGTTATTTTTATTTTGACATTACATGTTAGGTAACAGTGTAACTGAAGTTGTGCATCATGCCAACCTATTTTCGACTAGTATAGCCTTCGAACCTACCTATTTCTTGAAGAACGACGCATGCTACATCTGCTGGTCTTTGGCTTACATATTCCGAATCAAGTGCACTTTCTATCAAATCCACAACGTCTGCCCGATCTAGTTCCAAAGCAAAACTCTTGACGTCGCACATAATAGCAGTGTCTGTTTTCCCGGTCTTTGCCGCGTAAGACGCCACGAGCATCTTGGTTGGTTCCGTTTCGCGTTCAAGTTTTCTTATTTCCGAGTAAGAATACCCCATAGTGTGTGCCATCATTCTCCAGTCGTTCCCCAGGGGATCAACGGGGTCAAGTAGGAGGGATAGTTCTCTTAATAAATTGTAATCCATTTCTAAGAGTCACCCAAGAGTTTTCCTTATTAATATTGTCTATATCTACGCTTTCTCTCTTACTTTTCTCCTGTTATCCAAGTGCACACTTGTTTTTCTGTAGAAACATCAAAATACCTTTTCTTAAAATCAAATGCCATCGGAAATGAAATTGTAATATGTGTTGAAATCAGCAAAGGTTCTCGGCAGCACGCCTCCAGAATAGAATGACTTTCTTGAAAAGCGTCAGACCATTTAAATGATATATGACCTCGTTACTCTCCTGGGCTGCTGCTCAATACCCCAATTTACAATCTTTATAATTGGCGCTTTATCTATGCACAGCACTGCTGCAGTTATGTGGCGATTTAAGGCCTCTAAAATGTAATTTAAGTTTCAGCTCCAAGAGTTTGCACTGGGTATCTTGTCTTAATTCTTTAGATTAAAATTTCAGGGTATATAATACTTGGTATTTCATCTGAATGTAAGTTTATGCAATATCGGCGGTATACACAGCCAGGGTATTCCATAGCGTCTTGAAGGCTGAAGTCACACAGGAAGCAAGCAAGGATCTGGATGACGTCATAAAGTTAAACACCTCTTAAGTCAGAACGTTTCTGGACTTTATCTATTCATTTAAAAAAACAAGAATATTCCAGTAAGTTTTTATTTTCCTTGTCCTGAAAAGGGCACTTCGTGGTAAATTTTGGACATAGCCAGTGTCCTCCATCCGTCTGCAAACCTTGTATACAGTCTAGGTACACAGTATATCTGGCAGCTACACTACATTTGGGGGATCTAAACGCCCTCCTTACTGAGAAACGATCTCTTTACCTTGTTGATTTGTGAGCTCCTGAAAGCCAGAGGGACAATGTACACATTCGATGCCACTTTTATGTGGCACATAAAAGAATCCACATCACTTGCGACAAATAACCGCCAAACAGATTTCACCAAAAGCCCTATCACTTGGTTGCGACGACTATCTATACACACGGCGCAGTACTTTTGTCACCCCCCTCCCCGTAGGATACGCCCTTTATTGTGTGTTTTAAAGCCTATCAAGGCAGGATTTCCCCTCCAAAACTCATGTTTACAAATTTTCCTGGGGTAAACGGCATTTTACCCCACCAACCCACCTTTAATATTTCCTTTCTGACACTAGCCATACTTCCGGAAAAGGGAAAGATAATCACCCGAGCTAAAGCACAAGTTCGTCAAGATGGCTGTCTAACGAGTTTCAATAGAGGACGGTGAATATAATGATTTTTATATAGGCCATTTATCAGTAAATTTGTTTTAAAAGTTTTAATTGTCCCCCGGTAAGTTCAACAAGAAGCTATTAATGCTCTTTGAATGCGTTTAGATTCCTGGCTTGAATTACTTTAACATTGTTGATGTACTTGCAATGGGATGCATTGACTTTTTTATTTGTATTTATATCGGCTGCAGTATAAGGAGCCTACAACATAATTATATGTGCCATATTAGCTTAGTGTATAATAATAATAATAATAATAATAATAATAATAATAATAATAATTTATTTTATTAATGTTATTAAGTAACTTTATATAGATTGGTCAATATAGCAACTGATATACATATACGTAAGTAGTAATCTTTGTGTAGACAGTTTATGGATTGGTAATGCCGGTAGCTAGAACAGTAAGGCCATAATTTTCTAACCTTTTGTGTTAGCATGAATACTCTCTTTTAAACATGCAGTATATTCAATAAATTCTCAATCGAGCCCTTGAAGAACCTGACTAACAATAACATTGGTCACTTCAATTTATGTTATCTGGGTAGCAACTATCAGCCTGAGAACCGAGCAGCAAGGACTGTTTCTTAAAGCTTATCGGCACTATGCCATGTGAGCGGCGAAAGAATTAGGGTATTGGAAACGGCTAATCAGTCAATTATATTTCTTGAGGTCTTCAGCAATTTCCTTTACTAACCACTCATCAGCCAGTTGGTAGGTCCTATGTAAGCCTAGAATATTGTGTATATACTGGTAGGGAGTCTGGTGTTACTTAAGACCATATTTTGTAAAATTCTCTAAAAGATGCCTAGCGAAAAATTTCTCCGCGCATACCTGAGACTCTTTTCTCTGACTAAACAATCTTTGATTCTTCTTCCCCGACACAATCTGGGGAAATTAAAAAGACCTTAACCTTAGCGTCCGCCATCACTTCGAGCACTATCGATAGCCTACTTTCAGGTTGCGCACGATTCAAAACTGTGTCAAGATGTTTGGCAGGTGACATGGTTCGGCAGCAGGTGACAAATTAGATAAGTTTTACGGCGTTAATTCATGACGTTTATGTGTTAACATTAGCAAAAAGTATTTATAACAAAAAATGGTTTATTTACTTTAAAGCATAAATAAATAAATAAATAAATGAACAAACGTATATTTAAAACGATACGTTAAGTTTTGTATCAAGCTGAATAAGGGGAAAGCCCTCCATGCATTGCTGCATAATTTCACATAACACATCTAGAAAACACATATGAAATAGTAATTGCAATTAATTAATATAAATATCTGGAATATAAGAACACATGAAATAAATTGGGTTGTCTGATATTTCAAAAATTCTGAACTGCCACTTTGAACGTCCCTGGGCTGTTACAGCGAGGTTATTAACCTGATAATGTTATGTTAACAAATTTATCATTTTCCACAGTGACGATTGCGTTTTCCTGACAGTGTCAGGAGTGCCAATATCTTGGTATTAAAACATTTTTGTGAATAATAGCGTGCTTAATGAGTTGCATCAGTGTCAATGCGTTATTGTTATCTTGGTTTAAATACGTACTTAAACGATCAAAGGAGTCAAACTAAACAATTTAAGCCAACTGATATGTGAGAATTAATCTCTCTTCAGTTTACACTCCGTGCTGAGTATCCGTCGTTTTCTAGTTGCAGACAAATGTCATAAACCTCATCGTTCTTGATAAATCGACATAGGTAATGAAAAAGATTGAATATTTTTTTCCTTGGCGATTTTTAGCGTTTGATGCATTTTTGCTCCTTAAAGGGATAATAACTCTTCGTATGAAATCTGTATTTCACAATAAAAACATTGTGAGTGACTCATAAAAATGTAATATATTCTGTTTTCCCACAAAAACGGCTGTTATAGCTATTATTCTGATATCTGAGCTTGTCTTTAGACCACGTGACCTCCATTGATGGCTATACTCTGTTAAAATCTCTTAGGATTTAACAAAAAACCAAACTTTTTAGAAAAAAACCAGGGACTAACTTTGAATGTAAAAATGGATTCATTAACCATTGGTAAGTATGGGAAAATTGTTGTTTACTCCAGGAAAATTCATTTTTTGGCCGATACGAAGAGTTATTATCACTTTAAGTAAAATGGAGCTCTTGTTGTTTTGTGTCTTTTGACTATGTTTTGAACGTGAGTTACCAAGATTATTACTGTATATTATTACTCTAGATCAGATTTTGTATACTATCTTCCTATTTACCTTAACGAGTCAAACTTAGTTTGCTCGACAAGAAAATGCGATGTACAGAAAGAAAGCATTCAGAACACATGAACCGCAGATTAACAGAAGCCATGAAAAAGTTCAGCAAATTTCAAGAAATTTCAGACGTGTCAGCTGCTTTCTTCAATCCACCAAAAAACTGCACAAAACACTTAAAGGTGTGACTTTGCTATTTTACTATGGTCAGATAGCTCATTGGTTGTACAATAAGTAAATATTTGTGAAAAAGATCCTTATGGATGTTTAATAAAAAAGCATTGGTTCATGACTTGTTTTTCGGTAACATTTTACACATTGCAATAAGGGTGACACCTTTTTGGTAGGGCAGTATATATTGCTTCAGGTGTGTTTGAGTACTGTGTTCACCAATGTTGACGTTTAAATCCATTACTTTTTTCATCTGTAGTAATGGGATCCGTTTCTATGAAACACCGAAACTTTGACAGTAGTAACTATATGTATCGACAGATACAAATATACAGCTAATTAACACAAATTGTGGCCAACCTGGAAAGCGTTCAGTCTGACCGGATTTGTCTATCTGGGGTCAAGTAGGAATTTTTAAGCGCATTCAGAACAGATTATCCGCGGACTATCTGATTCGCCGACTAAATATGGCCGATCCTACATAAAAAGCGATGCCGCTAATTTTCTGATGGTCTCCCCGCCTCCACACGCGCCATTAAACGGATAAAATCAAGGCTCCGAGATTTAATTGCTAGGCACCGGCAGCGACGGCGCGTGGGGAGGCGAGAAGACCATCAAGGGATTAGCGGCATCAGTTAGTCCGCGGATCATATGTTCTGAATGCGCTCTTTATGGCCGGTACACGAAACACAATATACTACCATTTAACCAACACAATATGCAACATATTTTTCAGAGTATATTATCCGTTTTTGGTCATCAAGTCAACAATTGCCAATTACAATTGGAAGTTAGAAAAATATTGACAATTTTCATTTCCTCACCAAGCTGGATCATTTACAGTGTATACCTCTGATGATCATTTTTTGCGAAACAGCCTCATAATAATGTAACACCATGTAAGACTCGCTCTTTTATTATTCGACTGGGACATCGAGCATAGTAGAGCGTTTTTAATATAGCAAAATATATATACATGAAACACTGTATACTGTAACTACATTTGGTCTGTGGTGACCCTTAGTACATGTATATAAACATGTCGTCCTGTTATATTTGGAACAGCTGTTCCTGGTAGCCCACAGCTATTATTTCCATAAACAACAAATTTCCTGTGAAATATAGTAAAAGCAGCAGTAGGCAAGATGTACACTTTAGGCAGAAAATCATTTTCACACCCAGTGCATCTACCTGCGAGTCAGCGTAACAATGGCCTGCGGTATCTCTTCTTAGCAATGAATTTGAAGAACTCAGTATTTTTGCATGTGGTCTTTCGATAATAAACGGAGATAAACTGTACAGGGGCAGGATGCTGGGGTAATAGAGATATAATGGCGTGATGAAACACGTCAGTGGTAGTATTACATAAAGTAACCAAAGGTTTATATTGTAAAGAATGTCTCAGTATATTTAGCACGTTGACGTTCACGTTCCACATACGGGCACTGGAGCTGACTCGATTCCAGAATCTTCTTCTTTCTCTAAAACCGTTTTCTGAAAATATTGTTTGCAGTTTGAATTATAAAAATTATAGTGAAGTATAAAAATTGCGCGTAATTGTCAAAATATATAAAAGTCCAGGATGAATTTCATCGGTTAATATTCAAATAAATTATTGAAAACATTTTCGTCAATAGGCGATTAAAAACTTTCTTGTTTGTAAAATTAACACGACATTAAAACGTATTACACAAAACGTCAACGATGAATATTATTCTTGATACAACTGTACCTTGCTAGCTTCCCCCAGTTGCTGCACTGTAACTTCGAATTCTGCATGTAATTTTCTCCTCTCTTTGGCAAAATGTACAATTCGGAATACATCAACGAAAATGCCAACTACACAAGACATCAGCAATGGCAACGCCACGTACAGCTTCATATGGGTTGCGCTGGCGGCTCCTGGGTTGTCCATGAAATAGACCAGCGTGACAGCCGACCAAGCAAAACTCCATGCGTCTATGAATTCTGGAAACACTTTCAACAATCTTCCTGAAATAAAAATAATAAACGTTATGAGTTCTACAATGGTGCTTAAATGCAATTAACATGAACTAAATCCACACTTAATTTGACAATTGATATATCACGTGAAATTTAAGTTTCAAATCCTGGTAAGAAAATTTAATAGAAAGCACAAATGTCTCAAAATTTGGTGGAAATAATTTCATTTCTGGTGCGGAACTTCCAATGTAGATTCTATATTACCGGTAAAAATAAGCAAAACACAAGGTTTTCATAAACATAACAAACTTAAGGTTCGTTGATGACATACCATTTTTGCCAACGCACACGTATGTGACGGCAATGTATATAAGGACGACAAGGAAAACAAATGCAAAGCCAAGTGCAAAAGGTGGTTCCATATCAAAACCCTGTCTGATGATCGGATAGATGGCAGCACATGCCTTCGTGATGCCAAACATGTCGTACGGTGACCTGGCGATGAAGAGAAATGTACCCAACAGCCAAAGAATACTGGAGACAACGTAAAATACACAGCAAACAACCACGAACCCTCTATCACCACAAAGTTTACATTTACGGCACTTGCAGCACATGAAAATGAAAGCAGAAATCATGATCGGGAAACACGCAAGGACAAGGATTGAATGGGGTGCAAGTGCAATAACATAACCGGCATCTCCATTGTCCCATAATCCGTCCAACCAGAAAATCCCGACGACCTTGGCTGTGGTTCCAGTGGGGAATCCGCCAAGAAAGGCATGCGTGAAGTGTACACGTTTGATATCTTGGGTCACAAATTCATTATTATACAGTCTGTGCGTGTGGATGACTTGTGCCACGTCATGCAGGATAAGTGGGATCAAAGCATATCTTGTGGGAGAGGATAACAAAAGTCCAGCAGTGAACATTCCAATACCAACCCATTTGATTATGTCCATCAGTATTGGTCGCTCTATGTCTACGAAGATGCGAGTGACCCAATGGCAAGTGTCTTCATCCATTTTGGTATCCACTGTATTTTCGTCGTCCTGGCATGCAGATTTTACTTGTAAAATTGTGACGGGCGAAACTTTGGAACTAAATGTTCAAAAAGACAGATAATATGTTTTTACTAAATGTTAAAAAAAGACAGATATTATGATTTTTAAACGGGCATAAAAGTACATATTACATTATTCATATGTTAAAACATTAATCTTCTCCGTTTAATTTGATAACGAAATACACACGTAGCACTCAGTTTATACATTTTTGAAGTATTTTGAATGTACTTTTCCACGTCTCAATGACATATCTAGAAATGACAGAATCGATGCCTCCTTTTGTGATTTTTATAAAGTAAATTTTTCATTGAAAAGCTGTGAACCAGGCATTTTTTTACCTTCTGTTCTTTCTGTGGAAAACGATCTGCAGCAATATACAAACCGCAAGAAGGAGAAGAAGAGAAGACGCAGAGGCTGTAAAACAAGTAAACAAAAACATTGGTAGGAATCACATCGGAAGAATACTAATATGTACTTAACACGAACTCCTATTGACGATTCCTATATACACTAGCACAGCCAGTTTTATCAGAATCGCCAATAGGAATGCCAGCGCATGAATTTCGTGCCATTAAGCACTTGGACCTTTAAAGTCACTGTCCTCAACATGTTAGAATTACATGTACTGATACACGTCATTGTTCACAAATGTGCATGAAAGTAACTTTGGAAATACTGATCCACGATTTAAGTTATGGATGGCTACTTTTTCGTCTTCACTAATACAGGATAACTTTTAAAGTGTCGTAGACTAGATTACAACACGCCTATCGACCGCGCCATAAATGTGTTCGTCGAACCGGAATGGTCGCTTTTTCAAATAGCCTTCAGATGAACCTCCAACTTTAATTCTGGGCTAGCATATTTCGCTATGTACAGTATTTCATTGAACCAAATAAAATAGTCATCAAACGTTTACCAGCCAGAGGAAATATAGCCTGGATGGTTTCTAAACTACTTTCTGTGAGGTTATTTGATAAATAGACGCGAGAAGTTGGCATTTGGATTTAGGGGTGTGTTTTTGTCACCCGATACTATAGTCACGGTATCTCACCTCCCCAGTACACTGTGTTGTATACGCCAGGATATTGCTGTCCCATGAACATCGGAGTGGTCGAGTTGTCGTTTGCGAGCGTTTCGTTTATGAAGCCTGGCATGATTATATGATCTTCTCAAAAACCGCAATATCCAAATCCACCTATTACTGTAGCGACAATAAAAAAACAACCGAGTTCCGACCAGCCAAATCAGAAACGTTCTTTCTGCACAAGAGGAGTGTCTTTAATACGTTTTTACCTTTAGTACTTAGTTTCCTTCTTGACCTACCATCTCAAGTACCTGGTATCTGATAGGCCCTACCAGTGACGCTATTCTGAAACGGACACCTGTTTGGCGTTCTAGCCCCCGTGGGCAATCATCTGTTTTCGCAGGCAGATAATTTTGATATCTAACGTGGGGTCTATGTTGGTTTAATGCTATACAGCACGAGTTAAAGATACTCAATGTCAACTGTTTAGCTAGATAAATTTGATTATCGAACTGGAATCAATGAATGAGGCAATTGTTCGGAAAAAAAAGGTAGCAAAGCTGTCAAATGGACAGATATAAAAATACCAAAATTGCTAGAAGCAGTGACATTAAAACAGTGATAAAATAACAACAAATTAAATGGTTTATTTACACAATAATGAGATATATAATGAAAATTTTGTAACAAACAATGTTCAAAGATGGCATTGATATTAATTGAATTTATAAAGAAGAGTGGGTTTTTGAGTAGAAAATATTGGACGCTCTGAAATACAAATAGATGTCGTTTTTTAGATATGTGTAGAGTGGCAACTCAATGATTTAAATATAAAACAATACTGTGTTCTGTATCTTACTAACACCGGTACTCGGGGTAGTCTGTGAATTGCAAAAAGGAAATACGTATATTATGTTGTAACTTTAGACACTATTTAATTTAAAAATGATCTTTAAATTTAAAATAACATTGACTTGAATAAATTCAATATTTTATTAGGTTTCCTGGGGTAAAGGGTATTTTTCTCAAACTTTCACCCCATGATTTCCATTTGTGGTACTGTTCAGGAGTCTGACCTTTTTTCGTTTAAAAACACCAAATTTTAGACAATTAGTTATAGTCAATATATATATATATATATATATATATATATATATATATATATCAATTTGAGTCAAATGATTTTTCGTGGCGATACATTAAAAACCATGTGTTGTCGATGGTTAGCCATCGCACATCCCCGCACTTCTCCCACATTGTAAAGAGTAGCTCACCCTCAGGGACCCCATTCTCTTGATATTTATATCGCAATCCCTGAGTCCAATATGAAAATATAATCTTCAATAACAGTATGAAATTATTCATGACAGGAGAAAGTGGAATTACTAACACAGAGACGCACGGACTCACGGTCGCACGGACGCACGGACTGGCAGGATAACGTGATCCCCAACTTTTGTCCCAAAAGTGCGGGTATAGTGATGGGAAATAGTAAAGTTCATACCTCTATCACACGGTTTTTATCAAGAAAAAAGATTGTCAAGTGTTTCTCATACAATTTTATTGCAGGTCTAGAATTACAGCTAAACATCATGAGAATGAATTCGACTGCAGGGGAACATCGTGCGACTCCATTTATTCAAACCAATGTGTGTTTATAACCAACGTGCTTATTTCCAAAAATGGAGATTTCTTGTTTGCATAGGTCACGGCAGTTACAGGTAACAAACTTGGCACGAGCACACAGCCCCCCCCCCCCCCCCAAAAAAAAAAAAAAAATGTCACGAGCAAAACGATACAGAGCGAACAAATTTTATTGAATTTCCCAGTTACTGTATAATATTTGCCGAGTGAAGTGAGCTAAAATTTTAATCTTTGCCCCCATCCACCCCCACCCACCTCTACCCCAGTAAAACCCTGAATTCTCCTGTGCACTAATCATGCCTACAACAAAATAGCGTGAGTGGAAGGTTATTAAGTGCAACGTAATGTTATTATATGATACAAGTAAAAACACTTGTTAGGTAGCGAGTCGACGATGTCTCAGTTGTTTAACTATGCTTTTACTGTCACAGAGATCAAATAGGGACCCGAGACTTCTATGATATTGCAAACAAAATTTTCAATGGGAATGAAAACAGACCTAAGCATTTTGGAAGATTTTAAAGAGCGAATAGAAACTATTGGTGGACTTGTAAGAATGGACATTTTGAAAATGTTTAATTTGATGATCTTACAACTTTTTTTTATTTAATTACTGATCACGTAGCTTTTAAGTGATACCTCACTGGACGTATTGCTTTGATCAACAAACTGACGTACGACGTAACACAGCAAATAAAAAACAAACGTCACAAGCAAAGTGACGTAAACGTCCGTGGCAACATTAAGACTTGGCAACAGTTCTTTTAGAGCAGCACGTCAATTTGACCGGAGTTAAATTTCTCCCTAAAATGGCTGGTAAAGCTAAAACCATTGAGAATCCTACCTCAAGATTACAAACCAAAGATGAAGATGTGGACCCTAGACCACGTCAACTGGCTTTATGGATAGATACAGAATCCGAATCCGAACCTTCGTCGCAGCAGATATCTAGACCGATAACGCCATTCGGCCCCTCTGCGCTGGACCCAGCGACAGTTCCTAGGCGCTTGTCCAGTAGACTAGTTTCACAAACCAGACAAAGAGACCCTGAAGAGTTGGCCATTGAACTGGACATGAGACAAACAGCAGCGACAAATCTGAGAAATGAACAGCTCAGAGGCAGAACCCCCTCCACGGGCGCTAGGTTAGAAAAAGTAAGTTATTCGTCAGAAATATGGCATTCGTTCTTTTTTTCACTGCTATTTTCTAGCCGTCAAAAACACATTAATCTTAGTTTGTCTGGTTCACCACCTCTGTTAATAATTACTAAGTAGCGGTTGTCTGACTGATCCAGGATTAAGAAAAACAGAAAATATAGATAATCAAATAAATGAAAATTAAAAGAAAAGTGGTGAAATTAAATATATGAGAATTAAACAGTTTATCATTATTCTTTTTGTGTAACTTTTACAGGCATACCAAGCTAAACTCGAGTTGGAAATAACAGAAAAGGAAAGGAAAGAAAGGAAAGGCGAAGAAAAACGGAAGAGAATTGCAAAGCGCTTAGAAGAAATAAAATGCAAGAAAGAACAGATGGAATTAGAGAAAAAGAAGGCTAGAGAACGCAAGGAAAAGCTCATTCAAGTAAAATATAGAGATGTTCCGTTATATGTATACTTAATCTTTTTCATTTTATTTAAATTATTTATTGTCTATTTATTTTTGGGAGTGCAGGAGAGGGTACATTGGTATTTGCGAGTACCGTTTAGCGGTTTTTGTAGAGCAGCTAATCGATGTTTTAGCATATCAAATTAATGTTATTGAGGAAAGAGCTGCATTTTCCAAATATCACAAAACAGTTGTAAAAAGGCTCATTCCGTTTCAAATGGAGCACTCGTAGCAACATATCTCAATTGCCTTTACAAGTAAGTTCTATTTAAAAACATTTTGTGTTTAGGAAAATTTGAAGAGCCCCAAAATTAGAGCTGAAGATGACGCTTCTGCTAAAGAGAGAATTCTGTTTGAACAAAAGTGCGAAAAGGAATGTGAGGAAAACCAAAAGGTTTGCAATACTATTATTATATTTTGTAGAAACAAAACGTAAGAGGGTGTTGGCTAAACTGTATGTTTCTTTGGAAAGTGTAACAAATTTAACATGGGGAACATTAGCCCTCTATTTTGACACTTATCTAATAATTAAATAGTCAATGCTCGTCTTCTGTGGTTTCTTTCAGAAATATCCCATTCAACGGGACGTGTTCGAAGAGACCAAAGTCCCTTCTAGACTGAGAAGATGTTGGAATGGGTTTTTGAATGCTGTTAGATCTTCATCTTGTTTTGGTGGACGCCGAAGCAATAGAGTACACCCACAAGTGCGACAAGATGAATAAGAGAACATCGGTGACAATGGATTACTCAGGAGAACGTGAATTTGCAACATTGATAAATATTAGTCTAGTTGCAATTGGTTTCAAAGACCTCGAGCCAAAAAAATAAACAACAACAAAAAAGTCTATTGCGCCGATTTCTCGAAAGAGCACTCCTGCCAGTGCTCTTACGTGTTGGCGACGTTTTCCCAACTAGTTAGCATTTTTCTGTATTCTTTTTTCCATTTATTTTCATAGAAAATTTGTTCAAGTAAATAAACAGCTCACTTATTAAATACACTGTATATATTTCATTTTCCTTTAAAAACATGACAGTAATAGATATAACGCTTTGCTATTGAATAAAACTCGACCACATGTATTTATTTATTTATTTATTTATTTATTTATTTATTTATTTATTTTTCAATCTTACATTTAACCAAAGGGAATCTATTCTGCGAGGTAATAACCATGTGAGGGAGTTATAGTGCCGGGGAGTAAAGGTGCGGGGGAGCTACGATGCGGAGACGTATCGGCGCGGAAACATAATGTACAGTTTTTTTATCAAAGCGGTGCCCTGATATTCATATGCTTTCACATTTTTATACATGTATAGCCTGACTGTACTAACAGCCTCAACATCTTTGTTGTGTCCAGCCAACTGAGGCTCGAAAAGTAATTTGTGATGTGTATTGAAAGTTTTCTATATACAGTCACACTGCTTCCAGCTCTCTATCAAGCCTACCATCGGATTTGGAAAAAGAAATTAATATCTGTGTAAAAAATAATGCTGGCAAAAACGCGACAGATATATCAAAGCTGCCCACGTATTTCTACACGTTGATGCCACGGCACATGTACTCATGAACGCTATTTTTAGTTTTCCTTAAATATGAATTTTTGCAGAAGATACTGGAAGTTATTTGAAATTGTAAGGTTTGTAATTTCAAACAATCTAAATTCAAATAATAAATGATTGGCATTCGCTTAAATCATTTCCTACATTTATTATTGGTTACCATCTACTTAATTAATTTATTATAGAAATTCTTACAATAGTGATTGGGAACACTGAACACACAACTACTAGATAGTCATAAATTTCTGAAGTTGTGGAACTATGAGCCAAGAAAGAAGTAGACACCCAAGCATTTACACCTTTACGTGTTCCTTTTAAACTCCTTTACATTCTCTGAGCAATTCATCATCGGGGCATTTATCTTTCAAAACGTTCTTCTATAGACTGAAGTTGTTAAAATTTCTACCCCCCCCCCTCCCCAGCGTTACAGAACGTTTTGTAGTGGACAGGTGTCAATTAAATTTATACAGTTTGATTCAACTTTGACGGCGGCTGTCAAGCGCACACAACTTTGATTGCCAGTTATGTAAACAAACGTCAATCATAATTATTACACAGTTGATAACTATAATGGCCGGGCATGTAAAACTCCCATCTTTCACATCCTGTGATTGACAGGTGTCGGGTAAATTCATTCGGTTTTTATGAGGGCTGTCAAGTGCAGACAGGCTGATTGGCAGTTATATGAATAAACGCCAATTATCAGACAGTTACAGGTAATGATGCTGAATGAGAGCGCGTTATCTCCAGTATTACCAGCACAAATAAATTGAGTGGAATATGAATAACTTTTCTGCATTAGTTGTGGAATTACAAATATAAACACTTTCATTTGCTGCAAGATCAACTTATTTTTCAAGGCTCAGTAATTATAATTACTCATTTATTTTCATTAAAGCCCGCATTTCCGTTGCGGTTGAAAATAGAAGTTCTTTTAGGTTTTTTCGCTGGTTTGAATGTGATGAAAACAAACATTTTACTCTGAAGAGCTTTCAAGAGTATTCATGTGCTGGACTCTTCCCCATTTATCCAGCATTATCCCGCCTTTGCAGTCGTTTGGAGTCCGTATTAACTTCAGTGAGCGTCGACAAAAATTACAAAAGTTCTCCGTGAAATCTTGTGTTTTCACTTCCTTGGCACAGCTCCTTTGTGCGCCTATCCGGACTGCCTGCATTTTATCATTCATCGCTTTTAGTCTCTTAGAATCATTTTTGAGTCATCCCAGTAATTTCTAAGAATTAGTAACCGCTTTTAGTAACAGAGTGATACTTTTTGATCTCTATACTGTAGATTTAAGTGGGCACTATTTTATCGCAGAGATTGATATTAAAACAAAATATATAAAAAAGGCAAATTTTTATTCAAATTTTGCGCAAGGTTTTTCATGTGTGAAAGATGGATATATATTAAAATGTTTATAGAAGAAAGAATACTTACAAAGTACGCATAATGTTGAATCGGTCAGTTTAAAAAACGGCAGCAAAAGAAGTTTCGCTCAGGCAAATGAGAAACAGTACCAAAGATATTATCATAAAAGCATTGAACACCCTATACTCTCATGTGATCAAAGTGAGACGACCAAGAAGAATTTTAAATGGACTGTGAACTTTGTGAATAGTATAAGAAGTTTGAGGTATTTGTAATAAAACATGGTCTTTATTGTTACCAGTTTATTTTTTTGACATTTCTGCCAGTCTGTTTTTGGTTTTTTCTTGGATAAAGTTGGCTATCTCCTCTTTTTGTTATTGGAAATATTAAAATGAGACATTCCTTAAAATAATTTATCGATATAAAGAAGCAGCGAATCATGATTTTGTGTTCACTATTATCTTTTTATTGTCTATACTATTTTAGTATCAGTCATCCACGATACAGTCTCCATCATCAGAATCATCACTGTCTTGGTAGGTCTGTACACTTAGTTGTACCTGCTGTCTTGACCTGGCTGCAGCCATGGCGGCAATATTGGCAGCAAAGCTAAATGAACCCGAGTCCAGCCTGTCTTGGGGGTTTCTTCTAGCAGCAGAATCTATAGTTAAATCTGAATTATTTCTGGTACTATCAGGCCTGTATACCCTTTGGCACAAATTATTTATTTTATTATTTTCTCCTTTTTCTTGTTCAGTCTCTGATTCTACCTCCAAACTGATGTCTGTTTCTGCATGAGTTTGCTTAGTATCTGAAGCATAATTTTTTTGAACAATGTCACATGACAGACCATTCTCTAATTCATCAGACTTAATTGCAGCAGATTTTTCTGATCCAGAAAGATCATTTTCACTCCCTGCACATACTGCAACTTCAGATTTGGTTTCCTCAGATTCATCCTCCTCTTTGTTTGGAACTTTGCCTGCATGGATCTTTTTCATAAGTTTTCTTTCTCTTTCTTCCCACTTTTTGGCACGGATTCCAATGACAGATTTCAGCTCATTCAGCAGACGCACAGCTTCTTGTTTCTCGCGCTTCCTTTTTGCCTACAGCAGAAAATAAAGACGTCAAAAATCAATAAAGAACAATGCACTGTAATAGTGCACCACTTATGTATACTGTAGCTGCAATGAAGGGTATAAGCTGATGCCCTTTATTAATTCTCAGTTTCAGTAGGATCTATAACCAGACAGCCAGAAGAGAAGGGCTACACCAAGAATTACTGAGGAATGGTTGCCTGATTCTGACGTAAACACAGGCAAGAGTGACAATAAGTTCTATGGATATGCACAAAATGATAGAGCTTGTACATTTGTCCAGTATGAGATTTAATATTCATCTTCATTTGATGAATGGATCAAAATATACACTTTTGATAAACTTATGTCTCCTGTTTACCTTTTCTTCTGCAGACAACAACAGTTCATGCCCAAAATCACTATCTTCTACCTCACTTGGGTCAGTGTATGCTTCAAACACCTGCAAGACAAAGAACACTTCATGAAACCAGAGTAACTAGGATAAAAGCCATTCCTTCTGTGTCTTAATAAGATAAATTTTTTTAAACTATAGCCAAAATATTAAAACGAGGAAAGAAACACACACATGAGTGTCAAATTTATAAAATAATTGAAAAATTCTTAAATATATATAATATCTGATATAAGACCCCTTAGCAAAATATCAGGCCTGTTGCAAATTTGTTGCAAAAGGCAACTCCTTGCAAATTAGCAGCAATAAAAATTTTTCTCACAAACTCCTGCAAACTGGTTGCCTCAAACTTTTCAGTTTGCTAAGGAACAGAATAAAGGTCGCTAAAGAACTAAGGACATACCTAAAATAATCAAGAACTAAAATATTCATTAAAATATGACTATTTTTTACCACCAATCCTCACCCAAGCAACGAGTATCTCACTACCCAACCCCCCAAGCTTAGCAAAGTGTTTTACAGGGCCACTGATCTGGGACAAACATGATATTACCAACCTGGTCTTCAATAATAATGCTGTCCATATCCAGCAAAGGCTCTATTGGAACGTCAGGACTGACTGGTTGTTCTTTTGAAGGTTCCTTTGATAATGGCACTGAAAGAAGTGTGTCTAGTAATGATGAATGTTACTGATGACAGATTAACCCTCATCCACAAGGAAATGGAACCCTACGTAAACCCTGAAACCGGGCCTCAGAGGCCCGGTGTACCATGA